ATGGGATAGTAAGGCCATGCAGAGGCAGAGGCGTCACCCATAGCCCCCATAAAGCACTGCCCAGCAGAGACCTGGCAGTCTAGCAGTGGGGCTAGCCCTCCGTGAAACCAGGGGAGCAACTCGGGTGATTCCATCCTTGAAGAACTATAGGTACCAGACTCTAGCCTTGGTGATGCACTTCCTGCATGTGAACTCAAAGCAGAGTGGGGACCACAGCTCCAGCGGGCCCAGAGGCAGAGCATCAAAGCCAAGATTATTCTTAAGGCTTAATGCTGGCTATGTTGGGTTTTAGACTTACTTGGTACCCATTCCCCCTTTCTTCTGTCCTGTTTCTGCTTTTGGAACAGAAATGTGTGTTCTATGCCTGTCCCACCACTGTAGTTTGAAAACACACATCATGTTGGTTTCACAGGTTCTGGAGAGCAATTTGCCTCAGGATGAATCATATTCTCAGTCTTAGCCATATCTGATTTAGATGGTATTTACATGAGATTTTGGACTTAGATTTTAAAGTTGGTGCTAGAACAAGTTAAGACTTTGGTCGAGGTGTTGGGATATCATAAATGCAATTTACAATCAAGAAGGACATGAGTTAAACAGTGGTATACTTGTCAAAGTCTGCCTTACAGAGACTCCATTAAACACAGGGACACTTGGGCAGTAACTTTTCCCAACCTATAATGGATGTCAATGTAGATGCACTGGGAAATTGGGGCCTCCTCAACACAACACTAGGTTCTTTAGTTTTAAATCTTGGGTTCCAAAAAGGGGCACTCCCACGAGAAGAGTCTCACTGAGCTACAAACTTGCTGTGCATGGGTATTTCAGATGTTTGTGCCGAGGGCTCAGCCAGCAAGAAGTACAGTCAACATTCTAGCAGAGTTCTTGACCTTGATCATAAGGGGCACATGAGGCTGCTCCTATACAGTATGCAGACAGCAGAGGGATGTGTTGGCAACCGGGTGATCTACTTGGGCACCTTACAGCATTCTTTCTCCATGCTAGTAAGTGAACAAATGCAGCAATCCTCACCTGAGACCAGAAACTCAAACCACCATGCATTTACAGATAAAGAGCTGGGTAACGGGCCCACACAAACCAGTGAGGCCAGCACAAGTGCTAGCTAAGGCTGAGGAAAGTAGACCAGAGAGTGATGCAGCCAGGTGCTATCCATTAGTACCAAGACCAGTTGTGGCAGCAGGAGCTCTAGTTAACCCCAAGGATGGTCTCCTTCTAAGTTTCCCTTAGGGTGAACATCCATGGACATCCTGTGGGGACTGCTCCATGAAAAAGTGGATCCGAACAGCAGAAGGGATAGCCAGCAGTGGACAGTATGACTGTTTCCAGATCCCTTTCCCAGGATGGCGTATAGCCCCAGCTCCTGGGGTTCAGGAGATGAGCTCCAGCTGGCAGTTTTTTACTGAACTGCTTCAACTGCAGAGTGCCTCAACCAGTGTCACCACACATCCAGTGAACTGTTGACAAAGAAGTGTAAAAGACTGCTTTCTCAGCCTCTGAGCCATTCTAGAAAGCCCATATCATTCTAGAGCTTACAGCAGGGGTAGCCATGAATGTCATTCTCCCTCTGTGGAGTCCTTTTCTTCCCTTCCTGCTCCCAATTGTGCATTCCCAGAGTGCCCTCTAATGTACCCCAATACACCTCCCACATGTGAACTCCCACCTCCAAGCTACTTCAAGGGAGTCTTACCTGTAGCATTTAGAACATCAGACACAATTTGGAGCACCTAACAGGTATACATCCATTTCTTCCTCAAACAGCCCTACCTTGTCTTATATATGAGGAAACTAGACAAACAGAGAATAAATTACTTGGCTACAGTCAGAGTCAGTAAAATACAAACCTATTTGCAAACATAACAGACAGACCTCAGAGCTCAGGGGGAGAGAAATATGTGCAAATGCAAAATCCTTGGGAAGTGCAGGGGCATTACAGCCTTCCACTTAGCTGTCCAGATAGGAATGGCAGTCCACACTCCTAGCAATGTACCTGACAACAGAGCAGCAGACCTCAGACACCAAACTCTAGAAAGTCAGAAAGGGACGACTTCAGTGCAAGATACGATGTAGGAAAGGGTGGCCGAAGGCTGGCTGAGACAGAGAGTGTCATCTGGACATGCCCTCATGAGGCCTTCAGAAAGGTTCTATTGCTAAGTGGGTAATTTTCACTCAGTCTAGAACAAGGATTCATGACCATTCCAGCTGTGAAGTGTCTATATATCACTCCACTAGCTAACAAGTACCTGCCCCAGACCAGTCCCTGAGCAAAGGGCATGTGTGGCCCTCCACCCGACTGGGAATTGGAGCCTGGAATCCGCTGCATATGATGACCTACTCAGACTGTCCCCACTTACCTTTGGGTAAAGTGATTCCATCAAGACCATCTATGTAAAGGCAATCCCATCCCCTGGCCCACTCCTGATCCCCAACTGCTGCATGAAAGGAACCTCCTGTCCTCTACCACCAACTTTTAGATTCCACTCAGGCCACCTAACAGGTCATAATTTTAAAACTCTTAAAAACATTCCAGTTTCATTTGTATACTATAGAATGAGTCTTGGCACATATCTATTTTGATTAATTCTCTATTAATTCATTTGTTTTGTGCTTCCTTCTTGCATTCAGTAAATGTTCAATGAGAGATGCTTCCTCTCTTCCTGGAAAAAACAATCTTATACTGGAGAAGGCATGTGAACAGAGAAGGTTCTATAAACAGAGGAGTGCTAAATAAAACAATTGGGAAATACTGATTGGGAGCTACGGTCCTCCTTCAAAATGATAGGTACTCTCTTCTGGTCCTCCAGAGCCTTCAGATTTCTCTTCTGACCTGCTTTTCGACGCCTGTTTAGTAGAGCTCCCCAGTTGCCACCATTCTGTAGTGATGGTGCTGCATTTACCTTCTTGCTCTTTCCATCCTGTAGTCTTGTTTCTAAATGGACCCCCACTTGTCACCTCTTTTCACCTGTGCTCAGCTCCTGCCTCCTGGGCTGGACAGACCTCCCTCCTCCATCCCTCTGAGAATGACCACCAGCCCTAGAGGGCAGCAGGTAGGGCTCAAGGGTCTTCCCTTTAGGAAGGGATCCCTTTTAGACAGACAACTGGATCTCAGCCCTACTCAGCCTGTCCCTCCTTCCCTGGAGCACCTATTTACCATCTACCTGCTTCTGCAGCCGGCCCTACTCCTACTGCCCTCTCAGTTCTGGCTTCTGCAGGGCTCCACTGCCAAACAGGAAAAGGAAATTAAGATTAGCCCCATGCATCCATTAATTCTAACATGGAAACTTCTCTCCAAATAGATCTGCTCTTTCCAGTTCTGCTTCTCAACAAGCAAATACTGAGGGGTTTTCTTCCTGCTGATTTGGTGTCCCATAGTGAAAGAGAGAGGAGAGGAGGACATAGAAGTCAAGAGAGGAGGGGAGGAGGGGACAGGGGAGAGGGAGAAGGAGGAGGACAAGGTAGAGAAGAGGAGGGAATGGAAAGAAAGGGAGGGAGGGAGAGAGACAGAGACTGACTATAATCAGTGGGTAGTGTCTGAAAATAACTTAAATATTAAAGAAGGGGTTGCTGTGCTGCCTTGGTGCCAGAGGTGCCCATGTCCTCCTTTTCCTTCCCATTTCTGGGTCCCCTGCTCTATGGCTCCCTGCATCACCTTCCTCCAAGAACGCCCCTTTGGGACTCTTCCCCACCTCCGGTGCTGCCAGCCAGACATCCTGACTGAGCACCTCTGCCTTGCGAGCTCAGCCGCCCTGCTTCAGGCTCACACACGGCGCGCCCTCCATGCGACCTGCTGATCACTGCCTCCCCAGGGGACTGAAACCACAACTGAGCTTCCCACACCTCCCGCTCCCGCCCCTGGTTCTGACACCGAGCCGTCGCCTCTCCATCACACTGGCCTCGGCTGAATTCCTGGCAGCGACCATCTGTCTCGTCAATCTCATTATTGCGGAATCCATCAAACGCTTCTCCACGCCAAAAGTGATAGCTAAGGACATTGTACTAAATTGTCAGCCCCACCCCGCTTTTCCCAAAAGGCCTCCAGTATTCACTAATTTATTCTTTTCTTCTCTCATTTGAAAAAGAGGAAGGAAGAGCTGATCACGTGTCAGGCACTGAACTTGGCACGAGGGTGGCAGTGAGCAAGGTAGATGTGATCCCCAGCACCAGAGATGTCCACTGCTAGAATAATCAAATAAGTCATTGCAGGCGATCTAAATGGTAATCAGGAAAAGAGGAGGGTTGCTGAAGATTCAGCCTTTATCTTTATCAAGAAGCAAGTCCCTGCATCATTTCTCAGCCTCCTCGCCTGGGTGCATCCATCCATTGCCACAAGCCAGCCTCTATCAATTGAGGAAAGCCAGCTGGAGGGGAAGGGAGGACTCCAGCACGCTGGCAGAAGGCTGGAAGCCTGGTACTGGCCACGGGAAAGGTAGGGTGAGTGTCTGCTGTGGCTAGTCTCCACACGAAGGCAGAAGCTGACCATGAGCCCAGTGGGTGGCCTGGTGTTAGCATTCATCACCTGGGACTGCTTTAGTTAGCTGGTGAAACATCGCTGTTTTATTTGGAGGAAGGGGATCAAGCATACTCAAGAGGGGATTTCCCACTCCAGCATTCCCCTTGAGGTGCACCCTAATCATGGCAAGGCTCTGGGAAAAAAAAAAAAAAAAAAAAAGAAATACATAAGAAAAACCTTTAGTCCTCTGTAAGTCCCACAAGTGCCTGAGAAAATAAGGCTCCCAGGCAGGGGTTTCTGCCTTCACCCTCATCCGCATGGGACCCCTCTGGAGCCCAGAATGTTCCTTCCCCCAACATGCAATAAAGAGCCAGAGCACAGGCAATTTCCTTTCAAATTAAGAAATACAAATATTTCTGGCATGAAGAAAACCCAAGCAGCAACTCAGAAAGTATGCGGTTAAGTCTCTCTTATCAATTTACAATATAAAAACATCTCATGCATATAAAAGTGAATTTTGGTAGCAGCGGACTCACAACCATTCCTGGGTGTTTTTCCGCACCCAGGTTAGTACATATTTACATGTTGAATGCACACAGGATTATGCCGGGGCCAAATACTGAAAGAAAACATGCGGTAAATGGTTGCTTTAATAAGTCCTGTTCCATTGAAAGGAAATAAAACCTGAGTATTAATGAGATATAATTATATATTTAAAATCTTTTCCCTTGTGCAGTATATAGGATTAATGCCAGTAAACTCACAAACTGCAACATTCTACTCCATTACATCTGCAATGATTAGAGATAGTTTGAACATCTGGCATATAATCTGTGATAGAAAACAGCATTCTGCAGTTTAATGGACGTCTGGAGGCTACACATATCTGATTTTATTTCTTTCTGTTAACTCTTTCATGAGAGAAGAAGAGTTCGTTCCCGGGACGCCTCTCTTTCTTTCCTTCTTTGAACAGCGGTCTACACAACTCTCAGGTTCCCCTGCAATCTGTCACATACTCTTTGTATTTTCAACGGGGAGCTCAAAATGGAAGCCACCCGAATTCTCCAAAGTTATATATAAACAGCACAATTGAGCAGCTTTAATATTCAGATTTTAAAACCTTTACGAACCTCTACCCATGGAAACTCAGACAATTTCCTCATTATCAGTGAAATCTAAAACGCAAAACTGAAGCTGGATTTATGATTTCTCACAAATTTCAAAGGCGCTCTCCCCACACTCTCTGAATGCTGTTCCCTTTCATAATTGTGTATGTGGGTTCTCTCCTGTCAAGAAAAAGGATTTCAATATTTGTACACTTTTGATGCTTCTTAAGTGTGAGTAGGTAAGAATGTCTTTGACTGGCACAGGCTTTCATTGAAAAAAATTAGATGATTTTTCTGCCTCCTGTAGGGTGTGTTTAGCCCCAAGCTAAACAAGGAAAGTTTTAGTCCTACTGGATTTCTACAGGGAAAAGGAAGATCCTTTGTTGAAATGGGAGAGAGTGACAGCACTAGCTTTTGCTTTATTTACTGAAATATTGGCTAATGGCAGCACCTAAGGAAACTGTGAACTTGGCCTTTGTGAAGAGTCACAAAGAATGACTGACATGCAGCCTAAGCACACCGGGTGCTGTCACAGAAGGGCCACAGCATGGGAGAGCCCTGCGACAGAGTGCTCCGGAGGCTCCACTTGGTGTGAGAACATGCATGGAAAGGTGCCAGTGGTAAGTGGATTTGGGGGTGAAATAATCATTTTCATGCCTCAAATTTAATGGCTGGTGCTGAATGTTGTAATAAAGGCCATAGTTACTGCTCATAACTACAGGTGTAATAAGGCAAGATACTGGGCCTTCAGACCCTTCCAGCAATAATTCATGTGGGAATTAAGAAGCCTTAATGAGTCGAATGTGTCACTTGGGACCTCAGAAATATAGTTCTTAGAAAAGAAAAAAGGACTCGCTGGAATTGAAATTATGGGGACATTTACCAGAGACCAGGAATGCAGCTTTTCTCTTCCCAGGTTTTTGTTCCCAGGGCTTCTGCGCCTGGCACATGTGCTGCTAATAATAGCAAATTTTAAGCTCTTTGAGGACAAGTTCTTTTGAGCTAATCTCAAGGATTTTCAGACAGAGACAAGTCTGTGGCCCACAGGATATTTGGCAACGTTTGGAGACATTTTTGTTTGTCACAGCTTATAGGAGTGGATGTGCTATCAGCCCCTAGGGTCCAGGTTGAAGACGCTGCTGTAGACAACACCACACAGGACCGCCTGCATGACAGAGTTTAAAGACCCATAATGTCAACAGCAGCACAGGTGAGAAACCCTTTAAACATGGTCCTATTGAGCGATTTTTCCGGCTTTCCAAGGCATGCCCTTTACAAGACAGATTCTGTCTCTGGCCTTCACGGGGGACGACAGCTTCTATTACTCAGGTACTAAGTGGAGAGGTATCCCCATCCTTTGCCCAGGATGGATCCTCTAAACATGACTTGGAGGCCTTGAGATTCCTGATCAAGCAGCTTTTATTAATCTGCTACCAAATAATTTGCAGTCAGTGAAAATTCAGGTATGGACCAGACAGATGTATCTTGCCCTACCTGTGCACAAAAGACCTGCTGAGTGTAGTTCTGTGCACAGACCCTGTGGGGTACCATTTTTACAATCTTTTCAGTCAAGCAGTTTTCAAGTGTCTCAGACCTACCCTGGGGAAGCAGGCATTTCCCATGCTGGTGACAAGTGGTCCTCCTGGTCCTTCAAGAGCGCAGGTTCAGCAGGACACCCACTTGTCCACACTTTGTAGCCATTAGCACCAGCTACTGAACATACTCAGATTTAATGAAAGGTTTTGTTTAAAAATAATCCTAGAATCCTGATTTTTTTTTTTTTTTACCCCTTAAAACTGGACTAGTGTTTGTACCAAATAACAAATGAAGAGTTTCTTTCTCCATCCGCAGTTCTCGGCATTAATGTGATCCAGATGTCAAGTCAAAATCAACTCCAGCACCAACCTCATGAGCTGGGATATGTCCAAAATCCTCCTGGAGAGTCCCAGGGTGCAGGACTCCAACTTCCGGCACTGGCCAAATTCAGGAGATCCTGAGGTCTTCACTTCCACTTTAAATGCCTTCTGCTGTCTGCCAGACCCTTCCACCTCCCACCCAGAGTAGCACTCGCTGCAGGAAGCTGCCCCCAGGACTTCACTAGCAACCCAGAGGAATAGCATGGAGGAAGGAGAGGAAGGTGGGGGCACTTCCACAAAGCAGACCCTATAAAACTCAATGACAAATTTGTCTATTGGATTTCATCTCTTTCCTTATTAGCAAGACACCTCTCTCTCCAGTAGCTCAAACAAATAAACTCATACTTACATTCACAGACCCCAGTGTGCAAAGCAAGTTAGCGCCCTTCCTGCAAGGCTTGCCTGCCATGGCTTTGCCTCTGCTCTCGGAATCAGCAGCCATAGACTTCATCAAGTCTCCAAAGTTCAGCTCCCAGGTACGTATTCTTAGCAGGCAGAAAGGGCTTTATTTACTTTTGCTTTCAAATATTTTTCCCATTATTTCAAAATAGGGTAGGTAAGGCTGACCCTGACTTCCCAGAGACTGGATCAGGTGACATTCCATTGTCTGTCCCCCTGAGCAAGTGACTTTTCTCTCCTTCCTCTCTAATGGTACCTTTCCTGGTGATTAGAGCACTTGATTATTTGGTTGAATATGTGTCTTCCATTAAACTCAGAGTTCCAAGAGGGACAAAGACCAGGCTAATTTCTTGCTGACCTCTAACAAAGTGCCTGGTGGACAGTGCAGCGTCACCCATCTGTGTGGGAGAGGGAGACAGGAAAAGGTTGTTAAGGACCAGGCTGCAGGGTAGCCTTTCATCTCACCTTCACTCTCGGGGTATCTGTGTACACGTGTAGGTGTGTGGGTTGCTGGCCTCAAATACTGGACCACAGGACACAAAAACTGTAACAGTCTCTTGTTTGTTGAGATTCTCAAGACACAGAAGCTAGAGAAGAAGTGAGTTGCCCTTTATTTGGTTTCCTGCCTACTGAAGTGATATGGAAGCAGGCATTTTTGTCAAAGTCTTCTGGGCATTGCAATAGAGCTTCTGGGAACTTTCTCTCAGGAGACCTAACCTCCCTTCTGTACTGTCCCACACCAACCTGCCTCCCCAAAGTCTCCTCAACCACTGCCTCCAATCTCCAGGACCTGGTCTCTGAGGTATAGAAGTGTTTTACAATCCCAAAGATCCTAAAGGTAAAGGTCTATACACCCGCATGTAGAGCCTATTCTAGTGACATCAGCTCCCAGCATGCACTTAGTCTCAACAGGCCCCATGGCTGCTATATCTTGTCCAAATGTAAGACCATCCCTGAGGGCCACAACTGCTGTCATGCACAGAGTAGGGATTTTTTGCCTTCTGGAAAGGTCCAGGAGTGCATTTGCCCCAGCCACTCTTCCTGAAACTTTCCTGTACACTCCAGAGACAGAAATCTTTGTTAAAGAGGTGCATGGGGTGGGCCGCAGCATGTGCTTTCCATGGAGCAGCCCTTAGTATCCCAAACCCAAGGGGTTCTTCCTTCTCTAGCTCTCAAAGTCCATGGCTGCAATTTATTTTACCCACCTCTCACTCTTAAGCAAAACTGTAAGCTGGATGTGGTGGTACAGGCCTGTAATCCCAGAATTTTGGGAGGCCAAGGCAGACGGATGGGAAGCTGGAGCCCAGGCTGGGCAACTTAGTGATTTATTTATTTTAAAATAGAAAGTTCTGGGGATGTATCTCAGAGTGAAAGTCTAGGTTCAATCCACAGTAGTGCAAAACTAGATTAGATAGATTAAATGATAGATACATTGATAGATAGATAGATAGATGATAGATAGATAAATAGACAAAATTGTCCCAAGCACCTGTTCTGTTCAACCCTTACACTGCAGGGCCAACATAGAAGCAACCAGCTCAGCTAATGTCAGCAAGGGACAGTCAGTCCCCTGGAAGAAAGAGCATGACATGTCACAGCTGATATTACCCAGAACAGGTGTTAAATCCCAGAGTGGGAGACAGGGAACCATAGGGGTGAGGGAGGATTCTGATAGGGATCCCAAAAGACTTCCTGTAGATGTTCCTGCTGTTGGCTCCAGGGTCTTGTGGGACTGAGAGTAGAAAACGGGGAGGGAAATCATCCAAGCAAAGCAAATCAGCTTAAGCAGTTAATCATACCTGCTACACCTTGACTTTAAGTTTTACCCGCATGATAAGGATCTTCCTATGATTTCATCTTTGTTTCCAGTTGATTTATGGAATTTTCTCTTTTATTCAGTTATTGCACATTGACCTGGGCCATTGAAGAAGTGATTCTTCCGAGGTTCTGGAAATGGTGGAGATGGTAGAGCTGCCTGGAAGACGGGCAGGCACTATTCAGGGGAGGATGCTCTTGGAGACCCCGGGGCTGTGGTGTGGACCACTTCAGGGCAGAGATAAGCCAGGGCTGGGAGTGCTTCCCAGCCCTGATGGGGACAGTACCTGAATTCAAGCCTCTGGCCAGTGGCTCCAATTGCCGAGAGGGACAAAGGCTCTCCTCAGCGTTGAGTACTGCAGGTAGATATCTATTGAAAAAAAAAACAAAAATAATCAACTGGTTTCTATTTTATGCTCACTCTATTTCCAAAGAGATTTGAGGCAACTTCCCATAAAAACTGGTGCATCCACTTCTACAGCCTGGTTAAAACACAGGTATATGTTAAAGCCAGATGCTATAAGGAATGGGAAGGTAATGGCTCAGGAACCATCATCTTCCTCCTCCTTCACCTCCCTGTCCTCCCTGGTGTTTGGTGCTTGTAACTTGTGAAGAACTGGTCTCCAGGTGTCCCTTCTATCAGTGATCTGGGCCGGGCACATTGTCTCCACTTCACAGTTGTGCAACCTGAGCAGTTGTGATGAGCTCAGGAGCCAATTGGGAGCAGACATGGTGTGAGTGCCCAGTCCAGATTCTCTTTATTTCCTGCATTTCCCTCCAAGAGCATCTATCGACAGATGTAGCAGGGACCTTGATCTTCAGGCTTCACTGGCGGCCTCCCACCTGATATTCAAAACAAAACGATTTTTCTCACTTTGAAGCAAACCTGTCTAAAGAAACAAGTATTTGCACCTTTTTTTATTTCCCAGTACAGGGGATTGAACCTTTGCACAAGTCACTAAATTGCCCAGACTGGGCTTGAAGTTGTGATCTCCTGCCTCAGGCTTCCAGAGGGCTGGAACTATAGGTTGCACTACCATGTCCACTTAGGACAAGTATCTGCATCTTTCAACAGACTTCTGGGGTCCTTGATCTAATTCCCAACAGCACACCTTGTGCATCACATCTCCAGCTAGAGGTAGTGGAGGGCCCACACTTTTGCCTCCTGCTCTGTGACACTGGGCTGGGCAGAGATGGCCCTTTAAGGGCCAGGTTTGTGTCTGGGATGCAGCCTCCTGGGTTTCTTGGGAAGTCACTGCGGGTCCCACGAATGCCCTATCACAGTATAAAAAAAAAAAAAAAAGAGTAACTGAAGAGTCGGTGTGAGAATGAGGGAGAAATTTGTCCCACTCACCCCTTGTCTAGCACAGGGTGAGTACAATGTGTGAGTGGCAGAACTATTCGCGTCTTGGGTCCAGTTCAGCTCCCAGGCCACCCGCGCCATGGAAAGGCAAGTGATGTCTGCAGAGGCCCTGATTGAATGAGACAAAACACCTGGCCGGAAATGTGTGTCCTCCCATTGTCCCGTGAGACTTTGGCCTATAAGGCTGGTATCCCATGGACCAGAGGCTCATGCATAGCTGAGAAGCAGAGCACACTTTGGGGTCTACAGGAATTCAGTGCCTGCTTATCCCCAGAAGGATCCAAGAAGAGAGAAATGAAGATTTGTGCATTTTTTTTTTTATGTACTGAAATTATCATTCTTTTTTCCTCCTAGAGAAACAGCTCCCACACCTTACGGGAGGGAGCCAGAAACCGAGTGTTATCTAATGCAAATCCATTCTAAGAAGGTTGTGGGGGCCATCTGGTGTCCGATGCAGACAGGGCCTGCTGCGAGATGGATTGGAAGGACAAGGGACAGGGTGAGAGTGAAGGGTGAGGGGGAAGAGGCTGAATCCTTTTCATCCATGTCAAAAAACAGCCCATCGGGAGGATAAAAAGAGGGGGAGAAATCACCTTCTGTTGTGGGAAGCAGATCAAAGCAGAAAAGATAATGTCTCCGAAAAAAAGGGCGGATACAAAGTACGGTTGATGAACAAAGCTGGGGAGAGGCAACAGCTCAGGCCCCTGGGTGCCCAGCTAGACTTAATGACCGTCTGGGTGGGCTCCTTCAAAGACAGAACAAATCCCCACACCATTTGTTAGGGCCTCAGACACACATAGACACCAGGGCTTCCTGCGAGTTTTTTTTCAAGGCTTTGTGTATCCTGAAAAATGTACACCCCCCCCCACTACCACTGGCTTTCTACACAGAGCTGAAATAATTCATCAAATATTTGGAATGTGTAATTAAATATCTAATGCCAATTAGCAAATTACTAATGAAATAATCAGGGGCTTTTATGGTTTATATTTCGGCTCGAATTTTAATTCTAAGTGGTTATTGATTCTAAATAGAGTAGAATCTGAGTTGCAAAACGTTAGGAAGGTTTATGGGTGCGAAACAGGAAAGAGAAGAAAGGTGTCAGGGTTGTATTGGGGAGCGCTGCCAGGCAACCATCCTCATGATCCTCTGGCAGTGTGTGCTGGGGAGTGGCCTGAGGCCTCTGGGGTGCCACTGTCCCTCATCAGCAGTGACATTTAAAAGAGACCCAGAGGTTCCTGTAGGGGGCATAAATGCAGCACACATTTGCCATCATGGGGTGTTATGGGTCATGGTTATACAGTTATAACTGATTATAGACTGATGAAATGACACCTTGCCAGGTGTGGTGGCACATGCTCATAATCTCAGCGCTTGGGAGGTTGAGGCAGGAGGATTGCTATGAGTTCAAGGTCAGACTGGGCTAAATAATGAGTTCAAGGCCAGCCTGAACTACATAGTGAAAACCAGAAACCACACACGCACACACACAGACACACACACACACCAAAAATGACACCTTACCAGGCTTCCCAGAAACCCAGCTCTCCCAGACTCCAAGTGGGCCAGAATATAGGACCTTTCAAGGTTGGAAGATGACCTCAGCACTCATGGAAGTTTTCATGGTTGGCACGGCAGAGGCTACAAAGTAAACTACTTAACTGTAAGTTTGGCTTGGAGCATGGTGTTCATGGTGTACAGGGAGGGATGCAAGTGTGTATGAATGCATGTTACCTATCGGACACAGGGTTCCATGACTATAGGATACGGAGGTACATGTTTAATAGAGGATATAGCAGCACATAATTTCCTATAGTATAGGGTAGTACACGGTTACCTAGAGGACTTGGAGGTACATAGTTACCCATGGACTGCTGGAGTACATAGTTAAATATGGGATACATACTTATTTATGAGATGCCAGAGTATACAGTTACCTACAAAATGAGGGGGTACACAGTTACTTATGAGAAACAGGGGGTATGCTTATTTATAGGACCTAGGGGTATGTGCTTTCTTATGGAATATAGGGGACACATGGTTCCTTTTGTGACCAAGATACCAATGAATGGTTCTGGAAAAGTTGCTGAAGGTGTGTAAGCCACTTGTGACAACTTTATTTTTCAAATGCCCTTCTTTTCTTCTATGGGAAATGAAGTGATAATCATACAAGAATTTTTAATATTAAAGAAGTCCCCTGAAAGATATTTCTTAGCGGTGTGCTAGAAAAGCTAAAGTTGCTAGAAGGTATGAAAAATAATGCAATTTCATTTTTGTGAGAAATAGTACTTCTCCCATCTTATTTCACCCATTCTATATTTAATAAGATTGATCCTTGCTACAAATAATAATCACCCCTGCTGCCTTTAAATTATCTCATCTGTTCAGGTCCTATTCCTGGAACTTCTTCGCATATGCTACTTTATGGAATTGTCATAACTAGCCTTTGGGCTACATATTCTCATTACTACCATTTCACAGATGAAGAAATGGAGGCCCAGAGAATTTCAACAGCTTAACTAAGTTTGTGAAACTATTAAGTGCTGGAACAGCACCCAAGACACCCATGTACCAGCACTGTAACTTTCACCATGTTATCACTTGCAGAAGGAGATGGTCACTCTAAAGAAACCAATCAGCAAGGTGAGAAGCAAAGCCTTCTTTGGTTTAGGCAACTGAAAGGCAGAGAGAACAGCATTTTGGTTATGACATACAGAAATCCCAAAGGACTTGGAGTTCAGCAGAAACCAGGTTCAAGGACAGATCTAGACCCACCGCCACTAGGCTTCCCAAGCTGGTTCTCCATGGCTGACCATCAAGGAAGGGCTGGCCAGAGCCTCTGCAGGCTCTAATGTGGCCTAGGGCTGGGACAGAGGTGGCCTCCTGGGTGTCTGGCAGGCCTCATGGTTGTCCCTGCTTCTGCTCACACCTGGGCCAGGCCTGTGACAAGACAACCTGACTGCTCTCTCTCTCCCAGTTGTCCACAGCATCTGGTAGCAGGAGGGAGATGGCGCTACTGACAGCTCAGGAGTGATTTAAACAGCTCAAAGGGGAATCTTGGATTTCATTAATTAATACATCAATAGAAGCCAATGGAGAAAAACACGTCTTGTTATCTGGCTTCTCGGGTGCTAGACATGGGCTCATTAGCCTTAAGCATATCAGCCCGATAACACTATTTATTCCATACAGAATAATGATCTACTTTGGGGGAAACACTGCAGTGAACCAAAAACCCGAGTCCATGCATGCTAACATGCAGTGTGCAGGCACCGTGTACCAGCCCAGGTCTGTGAGCCCGTGTGCCACATATGCACACTGCTCTTCACAACAGACCTCCACTTCGGAGATAAGCACAAATAACCCAGCCAAGGTTATGCCTATTATGAGGCAGATGCAAATCTGGGTGAGACAAACACAAAAAGTCTGAGTTCTTTCATGATTCTGTGAAGGTCCACAGAGAGACACCGCTCGAAGTCCTGCCTGCAAAAGGAAGGACAGCAATATAAGGAAAGGAAGAGGGAGGAAAGTGGTCAATCCATATGTACTTCTGGCTGACCATTGGCTAATAAGGAGAACCAATTTAACAGATTGTGCCATTGTGTATTTCTGTTTTAAATTACATGATCTGTTTAATGACTGTCTTCAGAAGGGGCCATTAGAATTACAATGCAGTCCTGAGCCAGTCAGCCTTGAAAGCCAATACGCAAAAGTAAGCATAATGTGATGTTGGGTTAGGCTCACACAAGGTCATTTTGAGAAGTCAAGGGCCCTACTAGAGGAAGTAGCCATCAGTTAAATAATGACCCTATTAACAAGCAAAGAGGTTTATTAAACCACATTGGTGATCAGTGGGCAGGAGTTAGTGCCTTACGTTATCATGTCCGTATTTCTGTGGTTTTCGCTATGAGAGCAAACAACTGCAGGATAAGAGAGCCTTAGGAAGACCTGCCAGTGATCCAGCTCTCCACCAATCAGAACACATCTCTCCATCCCTCTTCCTGTGGGTCCTCCAGGGATGTGCACTCAAAGGAATGATTCAAGAGCCGGGTTCCAGAGCCCTCCATCTCAGGGAGGGCAGGAGTGGACTGACACTGTCATATGCTGCTCAGATCAGAATCAACAGACAACACCAAGAGGAAAGACCATTGACACTGACTCGGAAGAGGCTTTCAGGAGGAGGAAGCACCCTCAGCCCATCCTCAAGGGGAGGAACAGCACGGGCAATAGCTTCTTGGCACGGTAACTTTGGGGATGCTGATTGGAAAAGTGATGAATAAAGCAGGGAAGCCAGGCAAAGCAGGTAATGGAGGCTGGACAAGTAACCAGAAAAACACCCACTAAGGGATCCAGTTGTTCTGTCTTGGGCATTGAGGAGCCGTCTGTAGGAAAGACATGGGACCATCCAACATGACTATGAGCCCCAGTCACTGCAGACAATGAAAGAAGGATACATACTAAAGGAAAGAGTATGTTTTTGTCTTCATAGGTGGTTTTTAACTGTACTTGGAAAATGACTGGTCAATCTCGTGCAGGAAAGTATGAGTTCTTTGGGTGTCATTAGAAATGCCATATAATGCCTAGTGAATTAGTCCCCAGAGGCATAAATATGGCTTCCCTTCCTGTGGTGACAACCCAAGGAAACCACCGTGATGTTTAATGGCAGAAGCTCTGAGTCACACACTGCCTGCAGCAGGATCTTCACCCTCCTCACAATAAAAGGTGCAGAAACAAATGGCTCTTCTATGTGGGCGGCAGCTATGGGAGGCGGGAAAGGGAGAGGGAGAACTGGCTCCAAGAGTCATTAAAAATAATATTTTTTTCAAATTAATAAAATGCAACCGTCCACACTCAAGACCAACAGCTTGTAAAATTGGATTTCTAAAAGATGAAGGGGAAAGGAGGCCAGCACCGGTCAGGAGCAGCTAAACAGAGAATTCAGGAAGGAGGGGCATCACAGATTCTGCCCAAGAAATATTAATGGGTGTCTGTCACACTGACGCTAACATGATCACTCTGCTTGGGAGTGACAGTTGCTAAGTCCCACCACCTGGAAGGCCTAAGTGACAGGAGAGAAGCCAGGTCCCTGCTGCCCTCACTCCCCCAGGCCCTTATATTACAGGCCAATGGGCAGAAGCTCTATGCCAGGGGAAATTACAGTACAATTCCTAGTCTTTCAGATGAGATTCCTTAAAAGCACTGATATATTTTCCTACCTCCTCTCAGAGACCAAGCTTCCATAGAGGAAGAATTCCCAAAATCATCCATCACAGAGAAGGCTTTTAAAATACCTTTGGAGACTGCAATGAAGAAAGAATGGACACCATCAGTGTCCCTGCTTCTGAAGTCCCCGGGAGTGCAGAGGCAGAGGCCAGGCATGCACTGCTCCTCATGCTACCCTCAGCCCAGCACCGACTCGCATATGGTAAATGCTCAGCAAACAACTGGCAATAATATGGTCACCCACAGAGCCTTCCAGAGCCAGCCACCCTCAAGCCTGCCCCTCAGGGTCAAAGTTATGATTCCGTCCCTGTGCAGCCAATGTGTCTAGTTCCCCAGGCACGGTTACCCTACTTTACAAAGTTCTTCGGTTTCCATCCTGTTCAAACCAAGAGATTTTATTACAGAAGAACTCTTTAAAAGTTACATTTCCCCCATGAAATAAGCAAGTTGTATGTTTCCTGGGAGAAGAAAGACTTGAGCATTGTAAGTGCTAAGTGACTACTTGTGAGAGCAGGGCCCTTGTTATGGTTTTGATTTAAATTGTCCCCCCTAGGGGCTGGGGAATATAGCTCAGCGGCATAAGTGCCTGCCTGGCAAGCACAAGGTCTTGAGTTCAATCCCTGGTACTGAAAAATAAATAAATAAATAAATCGTCCCCCCTAAAATTCATTTTTTTTCAGAGATAGGGCTTTCAGGATATGAATCAATCACTAGGGAGCTCTATTTACCTTTCAGTGGATTCATCCTTTAAGGTGGGTCATCAGGGGTGTGACCTGGAAGGGTGTTCTCTGTCCCCAGCTCCTTGCTTCTCTCTCTGCTTCCTGGGTGCCACGGATTAAACACCTTTCCCCCAGCACATCCCTCTCCCATTCCATTTCTGCTTTGGCGACAACTGATCAATGACTGAATCCTCTGAAAATCATGAGACAAAACAACACCGCTCCTCTTTAAGTTGTGGGTGTTGGGTTTTTTGTCTCAGCAATGGGAAATAATTCAGTCCTTTGTGAAGCAAGGCTGAGTAAGTTGGAGTGGGGAGTATGCTTTTTAACGGACAGCACTGGTGTCTTGGTTACTTTTCTCTCATTGCTGGGACAAAATACCTGACACCCAAAGCTAAGGAAGGAAAGGTTTATTTCACTTACAGTTTGTGGAGGTTTTAGTCCATACTTGGCAGGTTACAAAGCAGAGTGGCACATGGCAGAGGGCTACAGCTTATGGGGGCAGAACACAGCAAAAGCAGCAAGCACTAAAAGAGAGGAATGGCGTCAAGCAGCCTCTTCCTCTCCCTTACATATGCAAACTATCCATCCCAGGGCAGGTGTAGCTCTCACATTCATAATCAATCAAATTCCAAAAGCCTGCCCCATGACCGCATGAGGCTTTGGGGGTACACACAGACACAAACCATAACAACTGGCAAGCAGATCAACCAACTCAGGAAACAGTGGTGTGGTATCCTGCTGCCCAACCTCCTGCTCCATAGACCCCCAAAGCCCACTCTCTGTATTAGTTGATTTTATGTTGCTATATAACAAAATATCCGAGGCTGAGTGCTTTATAGGAACAGGAAGTTCATTTAGCTCACAGTTCTGCAAGTTGTAGACCATGTTGCTGGTATCAGCTTTGAATAAGAGTCTTACGCTGTGGGTGACATCATAAGATGGGCTGCAAGCAGGACAGTAACCTGGAGAAAGACTGTCACATGGTGGAACAGTAAAAGAGAGAATGGAGAGGGGCTAGGGTCACTGTCCTGTAAGAGCCCACCCTGGCCCTTCCTGTCTACCAGCACTGATGAGAGATGTGGCTGTCCTGGGCCAGTCACCTCCCAGTTCTTAAAGGTTTCACCCCCTTTCAACACCCTCTCCATCACATCGGAGAACAGGTTTCTAGCACATGAGGCTTTAGGGGAAAAGCCATACTGAAAGCATACCACTTGCCCCTCCATGAGGCATGTGATTTTCCACAATTATTCCTCCTGCTCCCCACACCAGCCTGCTGCTTCCACCCAGCTATCGCTACCAATCTAGTATCATCATGTGGTCGGTCTATTCTTCACATCCCCACACCCATACCACAACATTCACTGATGACTTCCTGTCCTCCACCCAGAGGCTTCCTGGATATCTTTGCTGCTCATGAGCCCATGGACCTCCCAAGTTGCCAGCTCCCGTCACTCCCATGCTTAGCTTCTCCCAATCTCCTTCCCCCTGTCCTTCTCCAATCACCCCACTGGCTGCATAAGTACCCACTGTCCCCACTTGCTTAAAAGGTGACTTTTTCAGTAATTTCTCCTCGGCTTCTTCTCTGTCCATCTTGTCCCTCCAGGAGAACCCAAGCTCTCCAAAGAGAGAGGCATCTTCTCTGCCCAGGTGTCCCTCAATGCCAAGCACAGACAATGCATGAGATGGATTCCTGGTGTATTCGCAGTGATGTAAGTCATTCAGTAGGTGCAGAGTGACTGATCCTGCAGCAGGGAGTCCAGGCCATTTTCCCTTGACAAATGTTGAGCCATTTGCTCTCAAAAGTGATTGCTCCACTTATCGCCAAGGAGGTGGAAGCTGGGGCACCCTGCTGCAGACTGAATATTTAGGTCTCCTCAGAATGAATGTGTTGAAAACGAATCCCCAAAGTGCTAGAATTTGGAAGCAGGGATTTGGGGAGGAGATAAGGTCATGAGGGCAGAGATCTCATGAGTGGACCTAGTGCCTGTATGAAAAAGGACCCCAGAGAAAGCCCTTCTGCTTTCACATATGAAGACACAACAAGGCAAAGATGGCTGTCAATGAGTCAAGAAGTGAGCCTCACCAGGCACTGAATCTGCCAGCACCTCGAACCGGGAGTTTTCAGCTGTTGAATTAGGAGAAGTAAACTTCTGTGGCTTACAAACCACAGAATTCACCGCATTTTCATATCGCAGCCCTCACTGATGAAGACACACCCTGCATCACCTTCACAATTAGTCTGGTTCAGGCAGGAGCTGTGCCGCAGAGGAGAACGTTCCTGAGACTCTGGTGGAGCAAGACTCCGCCATGCTGGCCCAGCTCTATTCTTAGCCACGCTCACAGCCGTTCTGGGGAGAAGGCTGGTTGTTGTTAAGCTTCGGCAGCGTCTGGCTTTCTCCGTCCAATCTTCGCTGCAGCCTTCTGTTTCCGCCTTCAGGTACATGATTCGTTCCTGTCCTTGTATCAAAGTGGGGAGGGGGGCCATCTGGAAGAGGTGCCGCATCCTCTCCTCACTCGGCTCCAGCTCCGCTGTATTCCCGACTCCCACCTCCGTTATCTGGGCCTTCATGTTATTTTTACAAGACTTGGCTCAAAGTCCAGATTAGCATTGTCTTATTAGAGCCTGAATGATTTTCCTTCTCTGGGGTGGTCACCATCTTCATGGGTGGATGAAGTTCCCTTAGATCAGGTCCAGGGTGACGTGCCGAGACAAGTCACAGGCACCCACACTCCAGGCGCAGTCACTGGCTCTGTGTCCCATCTGGACAAAGACTCCTTCTAGGCTGCCTTCTAGCCCCTGAGGCCCTGCCAAGAACAGGCTGCTGAGACTCAGAGCTCTCTCTCTGAGGCTACACTGCAGGAAGGAAGTACACTGCCTGTCAGTCTTTGGTATAGGTTACAACCCAAGGAAGAAGGCAGAATGCGCATTTAGAGTCCTCTGATCTCACTGTAACTTCGTTCATTCATTCATTCAGTACTTATTCATATATTTAGCTCGTGAGTTCCTGGACGAGCTCAAGTTTCCCCATTAAGCAAGCACTTTGTGGACCATGGGCATGGGGGCCAGCAGCTCATTAAAGAGACAGTCCCGGGAAATACAAATGAAAGAGCAGAACTGTGAAAACAGGAAAGGAATAAAGACTGCCTTTGGTGTACTCATGAGGTTTTTACCACTGAGTATAAGGAAGGGCTCAGTCTTGTGTCTCTGAGGACCTGGGGAGAACCCAGGGTCAAGGGACATAGTCACTGACCCCTATCTCCCATTGATTGAGAGTTCTTTTGGGGACATTAAGTCCCCAGCACTTTCACTTCTTATAAGTGTCTGAGCAAGCTCCCATGGTTCTTCAGGCAGAAAAATCTGTCAGTGGCTGGGCAGTGTTCATGGAAGTTACAAAAAGATTCAAAGGGAAGGGCAGGGGACACAGAGTAAAGCACCAAGAACATGTACTTCTGGCCATGTTGTTCATTTTGCTGATGCTGATCAGATGCTAGCACCAAGGACCAGGAGGATGCCCCGATTTGGCTCTGAACCCTTTTGCCATCCAAGAACCAACTGTATTTTTTGATGGTTTGAAAGCCGTCCTTACAGGAAGCCTCTGGGGGGTAGTGTGGTTCTGTTGGTCTGGAGTTTAAGTGTGGCTCTGGGGCCACAACTCTGCCTTATCCATGGATTCATTGATAAATGTGCAAACACGAAGCATAAATGAGGCTCCTCTCATGGGTCTAGGGATGAGCCAGCCAAGGCCCCTGTCCCCAAATGACCCATCCAAGTCTAGGTGGAAACAAACACAGCCCACCGTGGCGTGCTGCAGTCCAAAGAGATTTGCTGTGGGATCACAGAATAGAAATTGCAATGGACCCACAGCGGAATAGTAAAGACTCAGTGGAAGAGATGATACCTAATTTTATACCATTATGAACAGCAGTGATTGAGGATTCCTTCTGCCAGTTACAATTTTAATTTTCATTTGGAAGGCCAGGGCTGCAGCAGGATGGATCTCCTTCCCAGGCAGGCTGACTTCTGTCAGTAACAGAATCTGTCACTCTCACCCTGATCTGCATGGCAGTGAAACTTGTTCAGAAATCACAGCGAGGGCATCCTAGTACACCCGCCTACAGAAACTTTATGCCTCAAGCCAAGTCTTCGGTCTTCACCCATTCAAGCTTTTTTTTTTTTTTTTTTTGGTTTTTCTCTGGTACCAGGAACCGAACTCACGACCTTGCGCTTGCCAGGCAGGCGCTTTTGCCGCTGAGCTAAA